ATTGTTTCGTTTTGCTGTGCATAGGGTCATTATGAGTTGGTTCCGACTCGATGACACCTGACAACAACAACCTTTTGCTAACTTCTGAAATGTGTGTTAATGGGCTCAGCTCATTCTTAAAATTTTCAGTGCACAGAGTGAACTACTGTTGTAGGTATCTGTGGTGTTTAGAATGAACCTATTTGACTTACTTTATGAGTTGATAATTTTGAATTATAATTTTAACATATTTAATCACTGTTTCTGGAAACTTTACCTTTTTTCTCCCCCTCACTTATCACTGAGATATACCAAACAAAATATCTTTTTAGATTTTACTGGGTTTTTACCATTACTTATATTCGGTTATTGCATTCAGTGTCTTTTTTTTTTTGTCTTTTTTTTTTTAAGTTTTTATCGTGAATTACGTGGTAGTTTTACATGGAGGAACATTGGCTTTACATTCATCCTATCGTATTTCATTGCATTGCAATGACTATAGTCGCCTCCATGCATCAGCAAACAACCAGCGGGTATACTCTGCAAGCCTGACCCCCAGCTGTCAGCAGACCCTCTCCCGCCCTGAGTCCAGAGTCCCCAGCTGCTCCATCTCTCCATGTCATTTTCTCTGCCTCCATCTCTGGTGTCACTGCTTCTCTGGATAGGGTCCCGCACTCCGCTCTTCTCCTTTGGTGGTCCCAGGGACCTCCACTCCTAGACTGCAAAGTCGCTCACTCCCTTCCTTTTGTTACAAAACTACCCACCAGCTGCTCCTCAGAAACCCTATACAAGATCACTGTAAGTCAGAACCAACTCTATGGCACTTAATAACAACAAAAATCAGCTTAAAAATTAGCCTGCTGTGTTTGGTCAAACATTTAATTAACTCACCCGTAGTGTGATGGCACTTATAACAGCAACAACAGTGTAATAGCTGAAATTGCGGTGTCCCTAGCAGGGCCAGACCAAATAATTTTGCAGGACTTATATAGCCCATGGTCTGGTTATTCCTACCCCTGCTCTATAGAAAGAGCTAAAGATGTCAGAAATATGGGTCTTTGCTTCTTTTAGATATTTTACACATTTTCCTATCTGAAAATTCCTGAGTTTGAAATCAGGAATATATATTGAAAGTTACAAGTTGATATGTAGATGCTTTAACAAATGTAAGTAGCCTTCATAGCACAGTGGGTTAAATATTGGGCTGCTGATCAAAAAGTTGGCAGTTCAAACCCACTAGCTACTCCGTGAGAGAAAGATGAAGCTGAGTATAAAGATTTGCCTCAGATACCCTAAGGAGCAGTTTTTCTCTGTCCTATAGGGTGGTAATGAATTAGAATCAACTAGATAGCAGTGGTAGGAACATGAACTGTGTTATTATGTGAATTACTACCAAAACTTAAAATTCCATAGAATACTCAAATTTCATATTTAGTTTTCTTGTAACATATTTTTGTACCAGGATATTATTTTACCAAATTTCTAAAGTTCAAACTTCTTAGAGCTATATAATATTCATAAATGCAAATTAACATCCATGTACTTGAATGCATGCTAATTTCCTATTTTAAGGGTGATGAATGGTTTATTCAAAAAACCAGGCTCATTGCCATTAAGTCAGTTCTGACTCACAGCAACTCTAGGATGAGTAGAACTACCCTGTACAGTTTCCAAGGCTATAATCTTTATGGAAGCAGATAACCTCATCTTTCTCCCATGGATCAGCTGGCAGTTTCAAACCAATGAGCTTTTGTTTAGTAACTGAGTGCCTTAACCACTGTGCCACAAGGGCCCCTTACATGGTTTTGAAGGGAGCAAATGTTTTCAACATCTTTTGCTTTGTTGAAATAATTGTAATTTTCACTTTTCTTCTAGATGCCAGGATAGAAGAATTTGTTTATGAGAAACTGGATAGAAAAGCCCCAAGTCGTATAAACAACCCAGAACTTCTGGGACAATATATGATTGATGCAGGGACTGAGTTTGGCCCAGGAACAGCTTACGGTAAGTGGCAGAGAAAAAGATCTGAGTATTATAAAAAAAAAAAAAAATCTTTCCTTTTAGAAATTTTAGTCCTGGAAGGCATTATTATCATTTATTAATAATACAATAAGTTTTTTACTTCAAGTTTATTACATTAAAATGATGGATGCTGTAAGAAATATAGGTAATCAATATATATTCACAATTAAGTGTCTTATTTAATATGTTTAAGCATATTTTCAGTATTTGTGATGAATAAATCTTTGGTCAACTCAAAATGAAAAGAAACAGCTGTAAACATTAATAATTGGAACATGGAATGTATGAAGTATGAATCTGGGAAAATTGGAAGTTATCAAAAAAGGAAATGGACGCATAGAAATCAATATTTTAGGCATTAGTGAGCTGAAACGGACTGGTATTGGCCATTGTAAACCTTACAGTCATGTGGTTTCCTATGCCAGGAATGACACATTAAGTAGGCGTGGCATCATATTCATCATCAAAAAGAACATTTCAACATCTGTCTTGAAGTACAACATGATCTGTGATAAGATAATATATGCCTACAAGGAAGACCATTTAATACCACTATTATTCAAATTTATGCACCAACCACTAAAGCCAGTAATGATGAAATTAAAGATTTCTACAAACTTCTTCAGTCTGAAATTGATCAAGATGTATTGATAATTATTGGTAATTGGAATGTAAAGGTTGGAAACAAAGAGGAAGAATTAGTAGTTGGAAACTGTGGCCTTCATGATAGAAATGGTGCTGGAGAGTCCATGATAGAATTTTGCAAGACCAATGACTTCTTCATTGCAATTACCTTATATACACAACATAAGGTAACTATACACATTGACCTCAACAAATGGAATACCAGAAATTAAATTGACTACATCTGTGGAAAGAGATGGTGGGAAAGCTCCACATCATCAGGCCAGGGACAGACTGTGGAACAGGCCATCAATTCTCAGGGAAAGTTCAGGCTGAAACTGAGTAAAATGAAAATAAGACCACGAGAGCCAAAATAAGACCTCGAACATATCCCACCTCAATTTAAAGACCATCTCAAAAACAGATTTAATGCATTAAACACTAAAGACTGAAGACCAGAAGAGTCATGGGATGACATCAAGAATATCATAACAGGAAGAAAGCAAACGTTCATTAAGGAGACAAGAAAGAAGGAAAAGACCAAAACGGATGTTAGAAGAGCCTCTGAAACTTCTCCAGCACAGAGATGCTAAAGCAAATGGAAGAAATGAGGAGGTAAAAGAGCTGAATAGAAAATTTCAAAAAGCAGCTCAAGAAGACAAAGTCAAACATTATAACAAAATGTGCAAAGACCTAGAGTTAGAAAACCAAAAGAGGAGAACATGCTCAGCATTCTTCAAGCTGAAGGAACTGAAGAAAAAATTCAAGCCTCGACTTTCGTTATTGAAGGATTCTCTGGGGAAATTATTGAACGATGCAGAATGCATCAAAAGAAGATGGAGGGAATATACAGAGTTAGTGTTCCAGAAAGAGATGGTTGATGTTCAGCCATTTCAGGAGGTAATATATGATCGAGAGCTAATGATCCCTAAGGAGGGAGTTCAAGTGCGTTAAAGGAATTAGCAAAGAATAAGGCTCCAGAACTGATGGAATACAACTTGAAATCTTTCAACAAACTCATGGGAGCGCTGGAGACACTTACTCGTGTGTACCAAGAAATTTGGACGACCTGGCCAGCTGACTGGAAGAGATCCATATTTGTGCCTATTCCAACCAGAGTTGACCCAGTGGAATGCAGAAATCTTTGGACAATATCATTAATATCCCATGCAAGCAAAATTTTGCTAACGATAATTCAAAAATGACTGTAAACGTACATTGACCGAGAACTTGCAGAGGTTCAAACCCGATTCAAAAGAGGACATGGAACGAGGGATATCATTGTAATGTCAGATGGATCTTGGCTGAAAGAGAATGCCAAAAAGATGTCTACCTGTGCTTTATTGACTATGCAAAGGCTTTTTATGTGTGGATCATGACAAGTAATGGATAGCATTGTGGAGAATCAGTATTCCAAAACACTTAATTGTGCTCTTGAGGAACCTGTACATGGACCAAGGGGAAGTTGTTCAAACAGACCAGGAGAACACTAAATGATTTAAAATTAGGAAAGTTGTGTGCCAGGGTTGTATTCTTTCACTATACTAACTCCATCTGTATGCTGAACAAATAATCAGAAATTGGGTTATATGAAGAAAAGCATGGTATCAGGATTGGAGGAAGCTCATTAACTACCTACGATACGCAGATGATATGACCTTGCTTGCTGAAAGCAAAGAGGACTTAAAATAATTACTGATGAAGATCAAAGACCACAGCATTCGGTATGGGTTGCACCTCAGCATAAAGAAAACAAAAGTCCTCACCACTGGACTGATACATGGAGAAAAGATTGAAGTTGTCAAAGACTTCATTTTGCTCAGATTAACCATCAACATTCATAGAAGCAGCAGCTAAGAAATCAAATGACATTATTGCATTAGGCAAATCTGCTGCACAAGACCTCTTTAAAATGTTGAAGAGCAAAGATAGGATTAAGTTGCACATGATCCAAGTCATGAAGACTGTAGAAAAATTGATGCATTTGAGTTTTGGTGTTGGAGGAGAATATTAAAAGTACCATGGACTGCCATAAGAACAAATCAGTCTGTGTTGGAAGAAGTACCGCCAGAATGCTCCTTGGATTCCAGGATGTCAGACTTTGTCTCTCATACTTTGGACATATTGTCAAGGGGTACATATCCCTGGAGAAGGATATAATGTTTTGTAAATGGAGGGTCGGAACAAAAGGAGAAGATCCCCCCTCCCCCCAACAAGATGAATTTAGCACAGTAACAGCAGTAATGGCCACAAATATAGCAGCGATTGTGACGTTGGCAGGACCACGCAGTGTTTTGTTCAGTTGTGCATAGGATCGCTATGAGTCAGAACCGACTTGATTCCACTTAACGACAACGTCTTTGGTCTGTCATACCATCTCCAACATTGTTTCTGTCGCCCATATTTTCCAATGAACAATTCTTCTTTGTTTCCAACTTTCATATTCCAATCACCAGTAATTATCAATGTATCTTGATTGAATATTTGATTAATTTAAGACTGCAGAAGTTGTAAAAATCTGGCACTGGCTTAATGCGCCAGACTGCAAAGCCATTGGAATGGCAAGGTCGGCAGTTCAAGCTCATCAGCTGCTCCTCAGAAACCCTATAGAGAGTCACTATGGGTCGGAACCGACTCAACAGCACTTCACAACAACAATCTTTATTTTTAGCATTAGTGGTTAGTGTATAAATTTGAGTAAATATCTTATTAACTGTTCTTCTTTTTAGACATATGGATATTATCCCATCACTGAAAGTTTGTACTTCAGGATACATCTTGAAATGTTCTTTTTGATTACGATTGCTATGCCATTCCTCTTCAGTTTATCATTCCTAATATTATAGACCATATTCAAATGATTAATACCTGTTCATTTCAGCTCACTAATCCTAGGATATCAATCTTTATGCATTCTATTTAATTGACTTCTAATTTTCCTAGATTCATACTTTGCACATTCCAATTATTAATGAATATTTGAAACTGTTTCTTCTCATTTTGAGTCATGCCCCATCAGCAAATGAAAGCTCTGAAAACTTTTTGCTCCATCCATGTGATTAAAATTAACTTTGCTTTGAGGAGACAGCTCTTCCCGTTGTATTTTGAATACCGTCCAAGTTGAGGGACTTGTCTTCCAACACCATAACAATCTTTTGCTGCTATTCATAGAGTTTTCAGAGGCAAATTTTTTAAGAAGTAAATCATCAAATTCTTCTTCTCTATCTGTCTTAGTCTGAAAGCTCCACTGAAACCATGCCTTGCTGGTATTTGAAATATTGGTGGCCTAGCTTCCAGAATCATAGTAACACACAAACCACCATAGTACAGCAAGCTAACAGACAAGCGGTGATCTGTACATATTGACTTACCTATGGAATACACAGAAATCAAAACAACTACATCTGTGGAAAAAGACAATGGGGAAGCTCAATATCACCAGACAGAACAAAACCAGCTGCCAACTGGAATACAGACATTAGTTACTCCTGTACAAGTTCAAGTTCAAGTTGAAGAACAGTAAAACAAATCCACAAGCTATAGTGTGACCTTGAACCTGGCATTGGAATTGGAGGGAGATGACATAACCTTGTTTGCTGAAAGTGAAGAGAAGTTAAGTACTTAATGATGAAGATCAAATACTACAGTCTTCAGTAGGGATTACACCTCAACATAGAGCATAAAATAAAATCTTCATACCTGGACCAATAAGCAACATCATAATATTGAAATCAGTAATTCCTTTTTACTTGGATCTACAACCAGTGCTCATGGACGCAGCAGTCAAGGAATCACATGACATTGGCTAAATCTGTAAAAGACCTCTTTAAAATGTTAAAAAGCAAAGATGTCACTTTGAAAAGTGTCCGTGATCCACAACATGGTGTTTTTATTCACCTCATATGCATGCAAAAGCTAGACAGTGAAAAAAGAAGACTGAAGAATTGATGCATTTGAATTGTGGTGTTGGCAAAGAATATTGAATATACCATAAAATGAACAAATCTGCCTTGAAAAAGTACAGGCAGATATGAGGATGAAGAGACTTCATCTCATGTACTTCGAACATGTTCCAGGAAAGACCAGTCCCTGTAGAAGAACATCATACTTGGTAAAGTAGAGGGTCAGCCAAAAAGAAGACTCCTCAACAAGATGGATAAATACTTTGATTGCAGTAATGGGTTCAAACAGCATCTATCGTGAAGATCATGCAGAACCAGGTAGTGTTTTGTTCTGTTGTACATGTTGTTGTTATTGTTGTTAGGTGCCATCGAGTCGGTACACACTCAGCGACCTCATGCATAGCAGAACGAAACACAGCCCCATCCTGGGCCAGTTGGCACGCTTGAGCCCATCAATGCTGCCACTTGGCCAATCTGTCTCGCTGGGGGTCTTCCTCTTTTTCTCTGACCCTCTACCTTACCAAACATGATATCCTTCTCCAGAGACTGCTCCCTACTGACAGTATGTCCAAAATATGAGAGACGAAGTTTGAGCCATCCTGTCCTCCAAGGAGCACTCTGGCTGCACTTCTTCCAACACAGATGTGTTGGTTCTTTTGGCAGCCCATGGCATTTTCAATATTCTCCTCCAGCACCATAACTCAAAAGCATCAATTCTTCTAGGTCTTCATTATTCACTGTCCTGCTTTCGCATGCATATGAGGTTATTGAAAATAATCATGGCTTAGTTCAGGCGCACCTTAGTCCTCAAGCTGACATCTTTGCTCTTCAACAATTTAAAAAAGTCTTGTGCCACAGATTTGCCTAATGCAGTACATCATTTGATTTCCTGACTGCTGCTTCCATGAGTGTTGATGGTTGATCCAAGAAGAATGAAGTCCTTGACAACTTCAATCTTTTCTCCATTGATAAGAATGTTGTTTATTGGTCTAGTGGTGAGGATTTTTGTTTTCTTGACATTGAGATGCAATCCATACCAAAGGCTGTGGTCGTTGATCTTCATCAGTAAATATTTTAAGTCTTCTTCACTTTCAGTAAGCAAGGTTGTATCATCTGCATATCGTAGGTTGTTAATTAGTCTTCCTCCAATCTTGATGCCATGTTTTTCTCATAGAACCCAGCTTCTCAGATTATTTGCTCAGCATACAGGTTGAATAAGTATGGTGAAAGAATACAACCCTGTTGAACACCTTTCTTAATTTTAACCATTCAGTGTTCTCATGTTCCATTCCAACAACTGCCTCTTGGTCCATGTACAGATTCCCTATGAGCATAATTAGTTTTCTGGGATACTCATTCTTCGCAATGTTTCCCATAGTTTGTCGTGATCCACACAATTGAAAGTGTTTGCATAGTCAATTAAAGCACAGGTAAACATCTCTCTGGATGTTCCTCTGCTTTAAGCAAAGATCCATCAGACATCAGCAATAATATCCCTCATACATGGGGTCACTATAAGTCAGAACAGACTCAAGGGCATCTAACAACAATGAATAGATATTATTTAAAGAATTCTTATACTCTTTGCTATTAAGATGTTAAATGAATTCCTTAATTATATTCTAGCTGAATCTTATAGTATCTCTTGTAAAATATTTCATGATGTATTACAATTTTTATTGGCATATGTCTTCTCTACTTGATATTTTTTAACTGCTTGAGGATTTATATTTATCTTAAAGTTACCCGGAACATAGAGTTTGAACAAATCATTAGTATTTTGATTATATCATAATTTCAGTATCTATTGAGGATTGCAAAAACTGTTTGGGAGCCATGTCTGACTTCCCCTGGCTTCACAAGGGGGAAAGAGAATCAAACAAAATCAGTCCAAGGCTGAGTCCTATGAAGCATGTGTCAGGCATGCTTCTATCCTACAACCTTCTTTACTCTGACATCAACCATCCATTTCACAGCAGTCTCTGCTTCACATCTGGGTTCAGCAATCCATTGCAGTGGCCACATGTTGTTGTTATTTTTGTTGTTAAGTGCCATCCAGTCGATTCTGACCCATAGCGACCCTGTATAGGGTTTCCAAGGAGCAGCTGTTGAGCTTGAACCACTGACCTTGCAGTGGTTACACATAGAACTCATAAAAATACTCATAATTATGGCATTTACTAGGGAAGTCAAAAGGGTACAATTCAGAATTAAAATCAACTCAAGACGTTGCACTTCTCCAGTCAAGAATGGCTCTTGTCTGCCATACTGCAGGCATACCTCACTCTTGTTTTCAGCCTCTCAGCCACGTGGTCCTTTGACCTCTGCCCCTTCTTAAGCATGTGTTACAAAGTTCTTTTAGCCAGTTTGTGAATGCCCAAAGGGCACGTTCTGCAAGCCAGTCTCCTGTCTGTAGGTACTCAGTTTTACTCATAGTAGTTGTTATAAGTGCCATCGAGTCGGTGCCGACTCATAGCAACCCTATATAAGGTTTCCAAAGAGTGGCTGGTGAGTTTGAACCACTGACCTTGAAGTCAAGCACATCATCATGCAGTGCTCACCAGGACTCCACTATACTCAGTGTTGTTGTTGTTAAGTACTTTGGAGTTGGTTCCGACTCATAACGACCCTGTACAGGGTTTCCAAGGCTCTAAATCTTTATGGGAGAACACCTCATGTTTCTCCTGTGGAACCGCTGGTATCTTTGAACTGCTGACCTTGCGGTTGGCAGCCCAACCCGTAACCACTACACTACCAGAGCTCCTTACGATACTCAGTACAAGGGCCTAAAACCTGAAACTGCTCTCTCTCCATGCCTCAGCCATCACCTTTGCTATCACTGTTTCTCACACTTCACTCAGGTTCTTCTTAATGGTCCTGTAATCTTCTATCTCTGCTTCTGAGGTGGCTCCTTTTAAACTTAGCTGGAAGGTAAAACTAACCAATCCTGTATACATTATTTGCATGGTCCTACCCAATCACTGGAGTCCTGGTGTGGCGCTGTGGCTAATGGCATCAGACTGCAAAGTCATTTGAGTTGCAAGGTCCGTGGTTCAAGCTCACCAGCTGCTCCTTGGAAACCCTATACAGGGTCACTATGGGTCAGAATCGACTCGACGGCACTTAACAACAACAACCCAATCTCTTGTTGGGAATTAAGAAGACTTTGGATAGAAAAGCCATATCAAATAAATTTAAGGCAGCATAGTGGTTACGAATTGAGCTGTGAACCTTAAGTTCAGCAGATCGAAACTACCAGCTGTTCCATGGGAGAAAGATGAGGCGTTCCGCTCCTGTAAAGATTTACAGCCTCGGAAAACCTGTACAGGTCGCTGTGAGTCGGAACCGACTCCACAGCACATCCCACACACCACACACCGGGATATGCAGTGAAACCTGTGAGAGCCAAACTCAACTGGACCATTTTGTTTTTCTAGTTTCTGATTTTGATGGTGAGTCTTACCACTTTTCTCTCTCTCATTGTGAAAATACAGTAAAACCTGCAAAATCTTATGTATGGCAGAAACCTGTTAAAGAAGGGCAAAATACAAATTTTTTCACTAATAGAGAACAGCAATAAAAAGGGTTTACAAAAGACTAAACCCTGTGATTTCAACTCATAGCGACCCTGTATAGGGTTTCTGAGACCGTAAATCTTTACAGAAGCACACAGCCTCATCTTTCTCTTGCAGAGCATCTAGTGGATTTGAATTGCTGACATTGTGGTAGTAGCCCAATGCCTATTCCACAGGTTAAACTCTTAGCTGTTAACCAAAAGGTTGGCAGTTTGAACCCTTCAGCTGTTTCCATGGGAGAAAGATGTGGTAGTCTGCTTCTATATAAGAATACAGCCTTGGAAACCCTATGAGACATTGCCGCTCTGTTCTGTAGAGTCACTATAGATCACTAATCAATTTGCTGTTTGATTGATTGATTCCCTAAATCCATTAGGAAAACTAGTGCATTAGAAATCAAACACCGGAATGCAATTTGTAGTAAGGAGAGGAGTGATTAATTAACTTTTCAGTCTAGGACCGGGAGGTCCCTGGGATCATCAAGGGAGAAGAGCGGAGAGCAGGACCCTACCCAGAGAAGCAGTGATGCCTGAGATGGAGGCAGAGATGATGACATGTAGAGATGGAGCAGCTGGGGACTTTAGACACAGAAAGGGAGAGGGGCTGTGTGCTTATGACCAGGAGGCAGGCTTGTAGTGTATACCCTTTGGTTGGTTGATGATGCATGGAGGGGATTGTAACCATGACAATGAAACAATATATGATAGGATGAACATAAAACTAATGTTCTCCCATGTAAACTATCACATAATTCACAATAAAATATTTAAAAAAATAAAAAGAATGTTGACACACTGTGAAAAATGTAACTTTTGCCACTGAACAATTTTCATGATGGCAATGGGTTTTTTGGTTTAGTATTTGTAATCATAAATTTACTTTTTTGTTGTTTAAATGTAAAACTGATGATATTGTCAAAACCTTCATTCAATTCACAGTAAAAAGTTTTTTTAAAGCTTATTTTTAAATAAATTTCATTGTTGTTGTTCTGTAACAGGGAGTCGGTTCCAACTCATAGCGACCCTGCACAGGGTTTCCGAGGCTGTAAATCTTTACAGAAGCAGAAAGCCTCATCTTTGTCCCACAGAACAGCTGGTCATTTCCATCTGCCAACCTTGAGGTTAGCAGCCCGATTTTTATAAGTGTGGTGCTGAGGGTTAATGCACCAGACTGTAAAGCCATTTGAACTGCAAGGTCGGCAGTTCAAGGTCACCAGCTGCTCCTCAGAAACCCTAAACAGGGTCGCTATGGGTCAGAACCAACTCCACAGCACTTTAACAAACTTCATTAGTTGCAGATAATTCTGTTTGATTTTACTTAAGTAAACAAGTGACAGGTAACTTTAAAGCAGGCCAAATTGCTGATTTATCCTGATTACATGATTTTTACTTTCTGACCTTATCAGACAATGGTAAACATGTTTTTTCTTTGCAGGTAATGCCCTTATTAAGTGTGGAGAAACACAAAAACGGATTGGAACAGCAGACAGAGAACTAATTCAAACATCAGCCTTAAATTTTCTCACTCCTTTAAGAAACTTTATAGAAGGAGATTACAAAACAATTGCTGTGAGTTGGAAAATGTTCCCTTTTTTGAAAAAGTAAAATAAATTATATTTATGTACATAAAAATTTTAATAAGGAACTGTGGTAGTGTAGTGGTTACGAGTCAGACTGCTAACTTCAAGGTCAGCAGTTCAAAACTACCAGCCATCTGTGGGAGAAAGATGAGGCTTTCTGCTCTTGTAAGATTTACAGCCTCGGAAACCCTAGGCAGGGTCGCTGTGAGTTGGTAATGATTCCACGGCACACAACCACCACCACCACAGTTTTTAATAGTGTATCCTGTTAATGACTAATTTCTGTGATTGTAGCATATTTGAAAATTTAAATCTAATTAGTTGCAGTTTCAACAGAACACGAAAGTAGACCAGAATAAAGGACTGTTATTGATATTTATTCCATGTTTGTGATCCTGCAATATTATTGAAATACCTTTACATCCATTCTCCTTCATTATCAATACTAGCATTTATAGAGAGGTTTCTGGAATTACTAGGAAAGTATAGTTCAAAATATCACCATCATATAGCCAGGGACCTAATCAATGAAAGGTGTATTTGTAGCTATTAGACTTGCTATCTTTTTGTATCCCTAAACATTTATTGGAGTCCCTGAGTAGTGCAAATGGTTAGGTGCCGCATTACTAACCAAAATATTAGCAGTTCACACTCACTCAGAGACACCTCAAAAGTAAGGTCTGGCTGTTGGCTTCTGAAAGGTCACAGCCTGGAAAACCCTTAGGAACATTTTACTCTGCACACATGGTGTCACCATGAATCAGAATTGATTCAATGGCAACTAACAACAGTAGTGTATTATCTTTCTGTTAAACTGCTGTGTTTTTTGTTGAAGTATAAGAAATAAATGAGATTATCATTTTCTTTTACAAACTATTTCTGTGGGTTTTTTTGTTTTGTAGATGATGGAGAGTAATCTAGATGGGATTTTTTTTTTTTTTCTAATGTCTTTGTAAAGTTGATCTTTAAATACTATAACTTGTTAATTTGCAGATTTCTTATTATAAAACATTAATAGAAGTTTGTTATATTTATAGTGGATTTATCTGTGGAAAAACATATTTGACCTTGGACAGAGGAAGAATCACTAAGTTAATGTATAATGTAATAGAAGTTAAATTGTCAGTAGGATGAAATGTGGTTTTAAGAATCCATATGTTGTTGTTAAGTGTTGTCAATTTGGTTCTGACTCATAGCAACCCTGTCATAGTAATCCTGTGTAGGACTGCTGAGGTGCAATAGAAATTAATAAAGTGAGGAAAAAAAATCCTTATATGCAAGGTCAATGATTACTCGAAAACAAAGACAAGAAATTGGGAGGGGGTGGGGGGTGGGGAGGAAAACTAGAGCATTGGAAATGGAACAACCAGGATGCAATTTTAAAAAATGTTGATACATTGTGAAAAATGTAACTTTACAGTCCAAGAAGAATTCTAAGACATCATGCTGGTGTTATTCGTTATTTATAATTTTGAAATTTTCTTTGGAATAGAGTTGCGTTCAGTGCCATGGTATAGTAAAAGCAGCCTGGCCACTCCTTGAGATAGACCCAAGGAGTTTCGAAATATTTTGGGGAACTGCCCGACATTGTTGACAGCATCTCTGGCATACTGGGTAGAGTCCAGTAACATTATTATTTCCAGTTGTGAAAACAAAAAAGTCATTGCCAAATGTGCCTGGTGGGAAGGGAGGCAAGACCACAAAACATTAAAACTGATATTCCTTTGTTGCTACCATCACCAGATTGTTTCCTCAGATTTTAATATGTCATGACTGCCTAATCATTTTTTAGTTGAAACCACTAAGAAAAGGGGTCAGAAGCCTGAATGGTTACATTATAATCCATTTGTAATCATAGGTGTTTGTTTTTCAGGTAACACATGTTTAATGGAAATCATATTTTAAATGTATATGTTCTTATTGGATTTTTAGCCATCCTTAGCCCTTATTTTTTCTTTTTATATTTGTAGAAAGAAAGAAAACTATTACAAAATAAGAGATTGGATTTGGATGCTGCAAAAACCAGGCTGAAAAAGGCAAAAACTGCAGACACTAGAGCTTCAGTAAGTAGTGATTTTTAACAGAAAACATGAGGGTTAATAAATAACTTTTATATTTGTAAAATTATTTTACCATGAAAGATAAAGTTTGTTACTGATACTAGAATACAACTTTTGAAGACTTGTTAATTGTGCTCTTAAACAAACTTATCAGATCTTAATATATCCAGTTGAGTACCAAGGAGTTATATGAAGAGACGATATTATTTTAGTGATAACAGCTGTTGCTGGGAACAAAAATTATAGCTCTAAAGCTGTGTCATGTTTTTTAAATATTCTGAGTATCTTTTTGGAGATAGCTTTATTATATTTAAAAGTAACAGAAAATATAGTAATTTAGAAGAGAATAAATCAAGTTTTAAAGTGCTTATGTGTGACTTAAAAATTTAAAAATCATATAAGTCAAACTGACTGAAGGGAGTGTCAAAGGAGAGTTCTGAAAACATTCTAACAGTGGCAGCATGAACTCCCAGGTGAGCTGTTTTGAAGGAGAGGAAACCCATTTTGGATAAGTAAATCCTGGTATATTATTCAGAAAGTCAACCTCAGAATATCTTTTATAGTTGATTGGTATATATCTTATTATTATAAAATAAACAATACAAAATGATTTGCTGCATGTGTTTGTATTTATATGCATATACATAGATTGTTTTATATATACACACGGAGACCTAGTGTGGCACTACAGAATCAGCACTGGACTGCTAACCACAAGGTCAGCAGTTCAAGCCCACCAGCCGCTCCTTGGAAACCCTATACAGTGTCACTATGAATCAGAACCTCCTTGACAGCACTTAACAACAACAAATCTCCATTCTAAAGCTTGAAAAGGTTAATTGGATTTGAATTGAACTGTATAATGTTAATAAGTATGAATTTATTATAAGGAGCTAATAAGTTAATATTTAATTTGAGTTACAGGGCATGTTTTGTTAAGAGGTATGTTATTCCCACTGTCCTCTGTCCCCTACCACTACTATCATTAATAATTGCCCAGGAGGGAATGCGTCTACACACCTGGAAGCTTAAGTCCATAGGCTCTGGGGATATCAAAGTCAATTGGCTTACCATAGTTCACAAAGAATATGTTCTACATTTTAATAGTGACTGGGATCTTGAAAGCTTTCGAGTGGTCATTTACATGTTAATTTGGTCTCCCCCAAATTAACAAAGAAATTTAGTGCCTTGAGTTGGTTCTGATTCATAATGACATTGTATAGAGTTTCCAAGGAGTAACTAGTGGGTGTGAATTGCCAACCTAATCATTAGCAATCAAGTGTTTATCCTACAGCACCACACCAGGACTCAAATAAGAGTGAAGAATAGTAAAGGCATATGGAAACAATTAGTCCAAAGAACTAATGGACCCTGCAAATCTGAGTCTCTACCACCCTGAGACCAGAAGAACTTACTGGGGCCTGGCTATTACTGCTGTGTGCTCTAAAATCACAACAGAGGTTCCTAAGTAAAGTAGGAGAATAATGTGGAATAACTAGGAATCACATAAAAGACCAGGCTTCATGGTCTGATAGAGACTGCTGGAACCCACAAGAGTATGTCCCTTAGTAACCCATCAGGTCTGGAAATGAACTCACCCTTGTGGCTCAAGTTTCAGCCAATCAATGGAAAGGTCTACAAGTAGAGCAGTAATAACTAGAGAGATAGCATTCCTCTGAATAAGCCATTTGAGATCAAAAGGGCAGTATATGCCCAGGGACAAAGTTCAGAAGGCAGGAAGGAGTAGGATCAAAGGAGGAATGGAACTGGGAAACACAGGGAAAAAGGAGTATAAGTGATGTTATGTTGTGGGGATTGCAGTCAATATAATGAAAGAATGTATATGAAGTGTTGAATGGAAAACTGATGTGCTCTGTAAACCTTCACCCAATTCATAATTTTTTTTTTTTTGAAAAAAGACTCCTTTAAAGAGCTTATAACCCAGATATTGGTTGATGTTATTGTACCTCTATTTGCATGAAAACGCTTAAGGTTGGTTTACAGTGAAATTTAAAGCTAATAATTTTGTGTTGATGGACAACGATGTCTTTCATGAGACTACCCCCAGCAGCTTATAGGAAAAGAATCATTTTTTTTTTCCTATAGTATGCCTCTTTTAGAGATTTTATAGCTCTGGTAGTGTAGTGGTTGCGAGTCGGGCTGCTAACCTCAAGGTCAGTAGTTCTAAACTACCAGTCTTACATGGGAGAAAGATGAGGCTGTTTGCTCCCGTAAAGGTTTACAGCCTTGGAAACCCTATACAGGGTCGCTATGAGTCGGAACCGATTCTACAACACACAACAACCAACCAGTCACTACTGGAGAAGAGGCCATTAATTCTAAAAAAAATCACCTCTGATATTATGACATCATCATCATGAACAACAGGCTCTTTGCAGAATCAGAATTTTATAAATGAGCACTGTAGATGACAAAAGATCTTAAGTTAGAGTTTGTATTCATTTCCACTTGTTAATAAATTTTCATAGTAAAATATATATAATCAGATAAAAATGTTAAAATAAAGAAGAATCATTTGGAAATAAATGTTTTAGCTGGAAAAGAATCATTTTAGTCAAATGGCTTGCCTGTGCCCAGTGATGATTATTGAATAATAATACAGTTAACCAAGTTTCAGTAAAAAATTTTTTTATAGCAAAAAGTATTATTACAAGATGATAGTCTACTTTTTAATTTTAACAGAATTTTTCCATGTGAGCCTATGTTTAAAATTTGAATGCAATAAATATTCAAATTATGTTACTCAGAATTTTATTTATACACAACTTTTCTAGAATTTCTATATTATATAAAGCAAAATTTAACTATAGCCAAATATTAGAAAAAAGCATTTCTGATTTAGTTTGAAATGCTTTGAAAAAGAATAGTCCACTTAGCTTGTTAGTACATAAAACCTTAAGGCATGCCTATATTTAGTAGTCGCTCTCTTTTTTCTTTTATATTTTGCATTCAAATACTTGAAAAATACAGAAAAATAGAAGCTGTTAAGGATTAGGGTTGCTTTTTTTTCCCTCCCCTTCTTTGTCTGATTTCCTGATTCCAACTTGGCTGCTAAAAGGATTACTTTAATTTACTTTATACCTTTATAACATGGATTGATTGTTTTGAAACTAATTTTTTCTCTAATAGTAAGGTTTGAGGCCTATACATTACAGCACTTTTTAATAAATTCATTTACTAGTCTCTTGAGACTTCTTTTTACATTCTATACTTAATGGATACTTCTTTTGTACATGATGCCGTGCTGGGGAGGGGTTCATCGGTGAATAATGCAAAATCTCTGCTGCCCTTACTTCACAGTCTGTTGTAGTACATTAAGCTTCTTTAGGGTTTAGCCCTGTGTCAGTAACAAAAATGTCTACATGTACTCAATATTGCTACTCTTCTAACTTAGCATGTTTAAGAATGGTAAAGGACTAAAAGAGAGCAACATCACAGGCATTTCTCAAAAATACATCATGAGCAAAAGCGAAAACCTACTTTGTTTCACAGTCAGCAGAAATAAAATTGTCAAAATAATTTTATATATATGAGGAGACTTCAAAAAGTTCATGGAAAATTAAATTTAAAAGTCATGGGATTTTTTCCCTGAACTTTTTGAAACCCTTTCGTATAATAATGTTTGTCATGGGCAAAGACAAAATACTTCATAGTTTTCACATTTAAATTGCAAGGCACTGATATTGATTAGGCTAACATTAGTCTTTCATAGAGCCCTGGTGTGGAGCTGTAGGATAAGCACTGGACTGCTAACCACAAGGTTGGTAGTTCAGACCCAGCATCTGCTCTCAGAAATCCTAGACAGAGTCTCTGTGAGTCGGAACTGACTTGATGGCACACAATGACAGTCTTTCATACATTTTTAAATATTTTAGAGTGTTATTAATGGGAACAAAAATACCAGCTGGTTTCAAAGCTACCTAATATTTGGAGGTTTGGAACTCTTTTACTTGCGCATCTAGATATTACAGAATATAGATCTTCAAGTAACCTAATACATCAAATGTGTCCCTCTGCCCACTTACGCATTTCCACAGTAGTCTAAATAGTTAATGTGTATATATTTAATCTATATAAAGTGAATTTATAGCACCACTATATAGCCTTTTATATACACATATTGAAATTTTAAGTTTATTGGAAGTAAAAGGATTGACATGCCTTTCATATTTCTTCAGGATATGCCAAGACCTGGCTGAGGCTGATTGAAAGAGAACGTGGTTGAAGGCATCATAAATTCATAAAATAGAAATGATCTTTCAATAGGAAAGTTATGGGTAGGCAGCAGGGCTTTCATAGTTGAAAACTTAATACAAATTTTAGGTAACTGGCAGGTTTTAAAGTGATGCACCTTCCCTAAATGGTTTTACTTTAAAATCAAGCATCTACATGGTTTTTTGTTTTTGAAAACATAAATAATTTGGGGAAATTGAGTGGGCACTGCTTTGTGAAACTGCATAAAACAGTTGTGATTTTAGTTTTAAATAGGAAAACTGTTTATCAGCTCTTTTAATACTTGTTTAGTGTGTTCTTGATTGTGCAGAAGTAACTTATTTCTCTGTGTTCATTGGTATGTGTTCTTTGTCTCTTACCTATGCACTTAAGCAACTAAACTCAACTCGACATGAAGGAGATAACATTATGGTAAATTTCTCTTACATGCTCAACATCCTGCATGTAAAATGGCTGAAGGTTTGTTAGCCTACTGTGTTTTATACATCTTGAATAAAGTGCCTTCTCTTGCTATTAGCTGCATTTTAAAGTCTAAAATAGTCTAAACTCTTATGTTCATTAGATTTAATTTAAAAAACACTGGCTAAAGTGGAATTGGAGCTTGAAGAAAGGAAATTGTATGTTCTAATTGCCGTATTTTAGACTCTGAATTTGTACACTAATATATAGTGTCTTTTCACACCCAATAGAAGATGTTAGTATAAATGGCATTTTGTATTCTCACTTTTAACAAAATAAACAAGATTTAC